CCAGGCACATGAGAAGTCAATAACTATGCACCAAGCTGCAAGATTTAAACCTTAGACTTTTTTAAAAAAAAATGTACTACCATGTTCTTTCTCTCTATTCTTCATCACACAGGTAAGTAGAATGGAGTAGTAAAGAAATCAAAACCATACAGTCTTTTAGAGAAAATTGGGACAATTTATTTCCCTATAGTTACATTCTCTCCCCTCCAACATTCACCCCAAGCCCACCAGCAATGAATATAATAAGGGGGCAACCTCAGGTGACACATGAACACCCATTCCCAATCTTTTCTCATTACCTCTCCCCAAATCAGTCTATAGGTGTGACACTGAGAGCATGGACTATGAGTTCACGCAGTTTCAAAGAATTAGCTGTCTACAGTGCTTTGCCCCACTTTTTTTTTCTATTCAAGAAAGTACAGAATGAAGCAGAAAGTTCTTCATCCATGCACTCTGGTTTATACAAACAAGTCAATGATTCCAAATGTCAGTACTGTCACCCTTAGCAATCTCAAGTGGATTGCTATTCAGATTGATCTGCATGACTGAGAAGTAGGGCCTTGGGGAGAACCTGGGGGTTGGCAGTTAAGAGAGGATCTAGGGTGGACTCTCCATCCAGCAACCTGAGTTGTACATAAAGAATTTGACCACAGCCACTTAGCAACTAGCTCCAAATTCCCAAATATTGCTGGACTTCCTATAAAACAGGGAGAGTATTCACCCACCCTTCGATCTGGAGTTGGGTTCAGCTCCCTCATACACAACCTCTAGGACTTCAAAGTCTACTGCAAGGATTTGATGAGTGGAAGACCTCTACAACACTGCACATAAAAGGGAAAGGTATGTGCTAGTGAACAATGAATTCACGAAACTGTGATTTCATATATGAGTGTTCTAGCTTCCTCACCTCCACCCTATAATGAAACTACTTCCCATTTTCTATACATATAGTACAATTCAGATTGTTTTTAGATCATCTGAATTTAGTTAGTGAAATTCTAATTACCCAAATACCCTCTGATAGAACTACATTTGTAAATGCCATCTCTGGTTGATAAGAAATCACAATCAAGTACCCCTTATCGGGCCTCCCCAGTGGCAGAACGGTTGAGCTCTGGGTTGCGAAGCTGCCCGCAGCTTCTGCAGCACCGGTTTGATCCCCGGCCGCCACTGGGCGAGGGTCCCACATGGCGCACAGACCTCTCCTGCCACCCGCTGCTCCCCTCAGCAGTGTACTTCGTCATTCTGTCTGCTCTGTTCTCCCCTCTGACTCTGGTGAATTCTCTCACCCTCCCGCGCTTCTGACTGTACCCAGTGCTTGTATAAATAAATAAATAAAATCTTTAAAAAAAAATTATTTAAAAAAAAAAAACAAAACGTATCCCTTATCTCTTTTACATTCTTTTCCTCCATAGAATAAAAAGTTTCCAAGATTTCTCCTCTAAATGGAAACTGTAGCAAGTAATTGGTAGAGACACTAAATAGCACAAAAGAACATTTCTAGGAAAAATAAATTCCTAATTAAAAATAAAAATCCTTCTTAAACCATATTCTTAACCATTATCTTAAAACTAGTCATTTTAAAATCTAACATACAGAAGTAGCAACTTTTTGTTGCTATGCATATCTCAGTGTTCTATGTATATCTCAGTGTTCAATGATCAGATGAGACAATAGTGAACACAAAGTTAAGAGGATGCTGAGGATCTGAGCGTCTGAGAATGCTGACATGAAATAGACGAGACTTAAAGTACAGGGCCTCCCTGGTGGCGCAAGGAATTAATTCACAGCACTATGAAGCTATCCACAGCCACTGCAGCATGAGTTTGATCCCCGGCCAGCCAAGGAGCTACCCACATGGCCCAGCAGACCTCTCCTGTCTCACCTGCTGCTCCCCTCAGCAGTGTATTTCAGTCAATCTGCCTGTTCTGTTCCCCACTCTGGTGAGTCCTCTCACCTCTCCCCACTCTGGCCTGTACCCCAGTTCTTGTATGCATAAATAAATAAATCTTTTTTAAAAATAAAAAAGACTTAAAGTCCAAAGCTGTCACTAACCGGTATGTGAACTTGGGCAAGCTTCTTTTTCTCTCTACACTTATTTTGCATCTGTAAAATGAGAAAAAGTCTAGCACCTACTGAAGCTAATTTATGCAAACACTAAATAAGACAATGTACACAGTTCTAAGAACAATGCCTAGCACTGTGCAAGCCCCCAAAAGATGGCTACTGGTTGAGTAATAATAGAAATAGCAGCAACACCAGAATTCTGAATTGTTCCCAGTTTATTTCACCTAGACCCACTTTTTGACAAATATTAACTCCCTCTTCCCAAGTAGAAATGTGTAGTGCTCCCTTATACTTTACTCTCCTCTTTCCTGGAAAGAGGAGAAGACTACATGTCCCAACCCCTTGCCATTGTGTCACCTCTGGTCCGAGGCATTGAGGAATCAATGTGCCATCTCCAGGCAATCTCTTCCACTGCTGCTGCAACTCTTGAAGACATGCATCAAGATTCCAAAGCCTGGACCCTGAGTCACAGTCTGGAGGAGAGCTGCCCTGAAAAGTCATTAAACCTGCTTCTGACTTCTGGTGAACAAAAACTATATCTCTGTTATGTTTAACCTCTGAGATTTGAAGTTTGTTGATAACTACAACAGTATCTACTCTATCCTGACCAACAGGTGCCAATATATACCCCTAAAAAAGATTCTGGCATACTTCCAAAGGGGGAAGGAGAGATACTTCAATTTTTTTAATGATTTGCTTTTTGTCATTCTTTATGTTCTATACTTTGAAATACCACTTCATATTGCAAGTAAACTGACTTTTCAAACTCTCCATGCTTCTTCTTCCTCTTACATTTTTTAACCTAAAAAAAGGCAAATAATTAAATTTTACTTATATTTAATATACAGATTAATACTGGATCTTTCAATGGGTCACATGTCACATAGCCGTATGCACACACAGTACCCAAAGTTGCCCGTGATCACAGTAGGCTCCAGAACAAAGAAGGGGCCATGGCAGCACCCTCGAATCTTCCGTTTTTCTGACCTAAGGCAATATGGGGCAGTTTAGTAGAATTGGATTAGTCACTTTATTTTGAAGTAACCATCATAAATTGGACAAGGAATTTAAAATATTATTATTAAGAATCAAAAGGTTTTGTGTGTAATTAAAATTTACCTCAATATATTATATATATTTACTCAATATATTAATTCTTTATGAATTACACAGCATGCAATTTATAAACAAATATATATGTATAAAGTAGGATTCTGTGCTCAAAAAAATAATGATAGAAGGTGAGACAAATAATTTCGGAGCTGACAGTTTAAAGAACAGCTTTCAAACTTTTTGTCTCTGCTTGCATAGTTCCTAAACTGATTTTACTATTTCCAAAAACAACTAAAAAAGGAAGAAAACCAGTACAGAACTGGGAAATGCACATAGTAATAACAGGTTCACAGGACTTCATGAACTAGCAAAGTCAGAAAAAAAGCAGAAACGATAGTGAAGATCATTAATTTGATTTAGGAGTGGAGAACAAAGCTTTCTGTTCCAACTAAAAATCATATTTCCATATCTGAAAACCAGCAAAGTCTCTGTAATCTAATCAAAGGGATAAGGTGATTGCTTTCCACACGTACAAGGAGAGTGAAGAGCAGATTCTCAGACAGATCACAAATGCTTCCACAGGCCCTTGGACTCCAAATGGGATGGTAGTCAGGGAAACAGATGGGAGGTCAACAGATGACCCCAAGAAAGGCAGAGAGCTTCATTAGGCCAACAGCAAGACCAATTACTGGAGAATCACTAGTTCAGCCAAGTTACAATTATCTCAAATTTATACAGAGAGTTAAGTGATAGCTGTGAACTTTTTCAGCCAAATGGCACTGCATTCTCTTTGCCCCATATTGTAGCACTTATTTCACTACCAATAAGAAGTGAAGTTGGGCTTTAAAGCCAGGCCTGTCTGACTCCAAATCCCTTCTGAAGTAAAAGCAACATAAAACTAAGCCTCACAGAAGAGATAGGACTTGAAAATAGAGACTGGCTAGGACTGGAAGGGAAAAGGGAGGAAGAAGAGGTGCTAAGTAGGCAACCAGTGGAAAACAGAGAGGAAAGGCATGGGGCTGGATACCCTGAATGTGTGCAGGAATTACCAAATGGTAGCACAGATAGCATAGGAGAGGGACAGGAAGATGGCACAAAATATGGCTGGACAGGCTGGCTCAGGCCTTCCAGTAGAAGTGCTGTAAACTCAAATCATTCTGGAGGCAATGAGTAATTACTAAAGACTTTAAAGCAAAATAGCATAACTGTAAATAGACACTGGAAAAAACTAATCTTGCTAAGGTATGAAAGATGGATCAAAGAAGTAAAAAGGTACTTTGCTCACAGTAGATGCACATAGATTAATAAAGAAGGAAGAAAGGCCCGGTTAAAATTTATTGTATTTCTCTAAAATAATTTCACACAGTCCCATTTCACACAGTCCCACTTAATACTGTTCACTTTGCTATTTTGAGAACAAACTTGACTCATTCTGAAAGGAAATAAAGTTACTGATGCTTTAAAAAAAAATCAATTTACCAGTCAAATATGGCCCTCTAAATGTTGCTGTTAAAGTGTCTACTCTTACAACAACAACAAAAAAAAACACCTTCTTCTATTCAGAGGAAAGCACATCTGAGCCACTATTGTGACTGCTGAAAAAAAAGAAAACAAAATTAATCAAGTATAAAAGTTAGGCAATGAGGATTGAGTCCCCCTCCCTGCAACAATGTGAAAGGTTGTTGGAAAGTAAAGAGATCTTGAGTTTAACCTCCTATTTCCTATGCCCTCTCACAGTCTCCCAGTGAAATATACACTAAGCCATAGATTCCTTGATGATGCCAAACTTCCTTCTGCACAGGTCATTGTACCATCTGCAAAGCATCAAGAATTCAATAAGAACCCAAGGTTGAAAAACAATGAGATGAATCATAATCTACCTGATTTTCTTCATGGGAAACCCTCATCTGCTCCTTGAGGACAGACATCCGGGCTGCTTCTTCTTTCCTCAAGACTCTCTCCTTCTTGAGTTCAGGACTCCAGAAGGTCTTGATACTGTTCATGGAAGATCCCAACTTGCTATCCTTGATGTCTAGCTCTTTCCGGAGGAGGTCATTCTCTCTCTGAAGTTCCTTGAGCTGGGCTTGAAGGTCTAACATTGTGCTATCCCTTACCTGCCTCAACATGGAGGGTACCTGGTGGTGGTGATGATGGGATGAGCTGGTCAGACCGCCATGTTGATCCGTGTATGAAAGGACATCTGTGTGAGAAAGTCCAGCTGAAGCAATATTGGGACTACTTCCCATGGCTGTGACACGGCCTCCATATACTGCTCGATTTGTGGCCCTTCCCAGAGTCATGGTGCCCTTTGGATAAGTTGTTGAAGCCACCCCTTCATGATCACTCAGATACATAGGTCCAGAAGTAGCATAGGCTGCATTAAGGGACTGAATATTTTCCATGGACAGAGTTTTGCCTGTTCCTCCACCTCCCCCACTACTTGTTCGTCTGTGACCCAAACGAGGAGACCTTGGCAAACGAGGAGATCTAGAAGGGCTCCCCTCCAGATTGGTGATTGTTCTTGCACTTCCATACATTTTTCTTCTATTATGAAGTGCTACTGAAGAGAAGGAATGTTATATTCAGTTGGGGATTAAGCCAATATTTCCACTGTTGGCCAGAATTTTCACTGCATTCCTTTCAGTCTATCCCAGAAAGCGACTAGTCAGAGATCTGAAAAATAAGAAAAAGGGTAATTAGAAAAGAAGCTTCTTTAGAACTTTGACTAAAACTACAATGTATTTTTTAAGACAGATTATAGACTGATGATGATGGATGGATGGATAGATAAAGACAGACAGATGCATGTTCAGTTAAAGGCTGACCCCAAAACTTTATATACTACATGATTCTACATGCAACATTTTATAAATTCTGCTCACCCTACTCCCAAGCAGGTCAAAATTTCTTAGAGAAAATTTCTTAGAGCTCCTTTTTCCTTTGTAAATCAAAGTTCTGCATTTTTTAGTTGTACTAGGTGACAGTCAGAACCTCCAAAATATTCACCACAGAACTTCTCACCAAAGGGACTTTGGAGAGACCTGATGGTGGTGAAGGTGACTAATCCATCACAGTCCTGTTTAAGTTCATAACTTTTCTCAAAACTCTAGACAGTTTACCACCAATCAACTAGGATTGATGTGTACATCAGACCCTACTGGCCGTCTTGCAGCTAGAAGAAAAAGAGGTGGTTCGACCAAAAAGATTCCTAAATGCAATCATCAGAGAAAAATGGCAGCCCAAGGCCTCCTTGGTGGTTCAGTGGGGTGGGACGCAAACTATGGGGCTGTCTGCAGCCACTGCAGCACGAATTCCATCCCTGGCTGGCCAGGGAGCTACCCACATGGTGCAGCAGACCTCTCCTGACTCGCCCACTGCTCTCCTCAGCAGTATATTCAGTCTGTCTGCCTGTTCTGTTCCCTACTTTGTCTCTGGTGAATCCGCTCACTCTCCACACCTCTGGACTGTATCCCAGTTCTTGTATACATAAACAAATAAATCTTTAAAAAATATGACAGACCAGTCTTTTCCTCCTTTCACATGAATGTTCCTGATAGCCATTCTATACCTGTTCAACCAGCAGTTGGCCCCAAATGCATGAGCAAGTTCAGCTGAGATCCACTAAGCCCCACGCACTCCCAACACATTTTAGTGTGTCAGTGATGTTTTGTGGTTGGTTGTTCTGCAATATTACTGGGCCGACATATTCACTCATGCATTTCCTTTTTTGTAGACTCAATTCTAGTTAGGTTATCTGTCACTTACATCCTGAAGAGTCCTCAGAGATAATACGAAGAACTATGTTCCATAAAGGCTTCTCTTTCCCTAACTAAACAGAGAAAGCCTTCACTTTCCCTGTTTCTAACTAAAGAAATTAACTTCAAATGTTTACATTGCCACAGCTTAATTTTGATTCACTTGGAAATATACAAAAATCATTATTTATCTATTTTTTTGCATGAATAATCTTATCTGTAAAAGAAAAGGTGAATCAACAGTTCCAACAATAGGAATTCAGTTACATAAATGACAGAGACAGACAGACAATGGAATAATCGACCGTTACATGAATATTTAATGATATAGAAAGATGTTTGTGACAAACTAGTGGGAGCAGAATAAAAAACATTTATGGTTTACTCACATGGTAAAACATATATACACACACATATTTGCAGAAAATATTGGAACAACACACATCAAAATGTTAACAGTGGCGGGATTCCAAGGGGTTTTCATTTGCATGCTTCTTGTATGTTCTAATTCTATAAAGAACTATTGTCTTTTTAGTTTCTATGTCATTTATTTCTGGTCTGTTCTTCATCTTTTTCTTCCTTTACTACTAACTTTGGTCTTAGTTTATTCTTCCTTTTCCAGTTCCTTGAGGTGTAAGGCTGGGCTATTTGAGATCTCTCTTTTTTCCTAATGTACGTATTTATTACTTTAGCTTAAGGAATCTCTTTCCTCCTATAATTCCAGTAGCTAAATGAATTTGTTCTCACCTGTGTTTAGAATCCAGAAATCTAGGACCTAGCTGATTCACCACTACAGAGCTGTGTCCACAGAAAAAGAGATGAAATCTAACTTGTCCTTTTCTGTTCCTCCTTTTGTGTCTAGAGGCAGACACTTTGGAAGTATCTAGCTACGTCTGAGGTTCCATTCCAAATGTTACAAAATTTATGTCCACACAGTTTGAAATTTCAGTGATTTAGCCAACCCAGTCAGCCTAGGTTTTAGAGAACTGCAACAACCAAATGAAAAGTGTTTTTGTTCCTTTTGAAAATACATATACACACAAACACACATAACATGATTAAAAGATGTGCTAACTTGTTTGAAATAATGTTCATTTATTGAAAGAGCAATACATGTTCACAATACAATGGCCCACAGTTGCATTGGGTTCTTCTTTTCTAGATTTAATATCCAGTTTATATTAGTGCCATAGAACGAATTGAGAAGCTTTCTATATTCATATGTTCTGGAACATATGAAACTTGCATAATATGAGACATCTCTATTTCAGAAATGTTTAGTAGGACACACACATAAAACCTAGTGGCTTGGTTGTTGATTCTCTTTTCATTTTTTACTATGTTTACTTATGTATTCAGGTTTGCTCCCAATTTTGTATTAGTAACTATTAAACTGTTTCTCCAGAAACACTCTATTTCATCTAGAATTTTTCATCCTATTGGTAGCTTTTTTAAAAATTGCCTCCAGTTATATCTCTCATTCCAAATGTCTGTATTTTTCTGTTTCTCTTGATGGCAATATAACAAAAGTTGTCTCAATTTTTAGTGTTTTAAAGATGCAGTTTTTGGTTTTATTGATACATTTACTACATTTTGTCTTCCATTTCATCAGCATTTCTTTAGCCTTAATAATAATTTCTACTTCTTTTGTGTTTATGTATTTCTGTCTTTTTTTGCATTAAATGTTCACTTATCTTCAATCATATTTTCTGATGAATGCATGTAAGATTATGCACATTGGCTACAAAGTCTAGTATTGAGTGTACTAAATATTTTTTTGTAAATAACTTCTTATTTTCTCTTGAAATTTATATCTATCCCAGAAATTATTATTTTTTTAAAGATTTATTTATTTTTATACAAGAACCAGGGTACAGGCCAGATGCGCGGGAGGTGAGAGGATTCACCAGAGACAGAGCGGGGAACAGAACAGGCAGACTGACGAAATACACTGCTGAGGGGAGCAGTGGGAGAGACAGGAGAGGTCTGCTGTGCCATGTGGGATTCTTGATGGCCCGCCTGGGATCGAACCCGCGCTGCAGAGGCTGCGGAGAGGTTCACAGTGTGGGCGCTCAATCGCCTGCGCCACCAGGGAGGCCCTATCCCAGAAATTATTCAGGATATGTTTAAATGTCAAAATAGGTGAAAATTTTTGGATGAAACTTTGTAGCTCTAACTTCATAGCATTGGCATTGTGGAATATAATACATTTGTTTTCTAATCTCAGAATTTTATAAACACTTTCTAATTGGCCAAATAAATAATCACTTTTCTTGAATAGCAAAACATCTAATAAATGGCTATAAAAAAATTTTAAACAGATATCTGTAAAGAATGAAAATAAAGTAGTCTCAATCCTATCACTCATAAGACAACCTTTATTTTTTTTTTAAAGATTTCTTTTATTTATACAAGGACCAGAGTACAGGCCAGATATGCGGGCGGGTGAGAGGATTCACCAGAGACAGAGCTGGGAACGGAACAGGCAGACAACCTTTATTAACAACTTTCTGATGTTGCTTAAAATTCCTTTTAGGTGTATGTTATGTGTGCATATATATATATATATATATATATATCCACGTATATATGCTATATATATATATATATAAAACATTAGACAAAATTAGTGCTATATTCTATATAGTCTTATGTTCTTCTTTTCCCTCAATGTTTTATTATTAAGATCTTCTGCTTTTTCCACTTCACATTAATGCCACAAAATATTTTTATAAAAAATATTTTTTAATAACCACCACGAGTCTCCAAAGATGACCTCACAATTCCTCACAATTGTCTCTCCTTGTATCAAGAAATGGATTCTAGGGCCTCCCTGGTGGTGCAAGGGATTGGGTCTCAGTGCTATGAAGCTACTGGTAGCCACTGCAGCACGAGTTCAATCCCCAGCCAGGGAGCTGACTCACATGGCATGGCAGACCTCTCCTGCCTGGTCCGCTACTCCCCTCAGCAGTGTATTTCAGCATATCCACGTTTTCTGCTCCCCACTCTGTCTCTGGTGAATTCTCTTGCCTCCCCCTCCGCACCTCTGGCCTGCATCCCAGCTCTTGTATGCAAAATAAATAAATCTTTTTTTAAAAAAAGAAAGAAATGGATTCTATTTCCCTTCTCGTTGAATTTTGGCTGCCCTTGATTAACAGATGCTGTAGAAGTGACATGTTTCTAGCTGGGTCTGGCCCTAAAGAGACTGGCAGCTGCTCATTTCTGTTCTCTTAAAATCCAGTTGCCATGACAAATAGAAGTTTAAGCCACTAGGGAAAAAGAAGCCACAAAAAGGGCCTCCCCGGTGGAGCAGTGGTTGAGCGCTGGGCTGTGAAGCTGCCCGCAGCCTCTGCAGCGCTGGTTCAATTCCCGGCCACAGGCGAGGGGCCCACATGGCACGCAGACCTCTCCTGCCATGCCCGCTGCTCCCCTCAGCAGTGTACTTCATCAGTCTGCCTGTTCTGCTCCCCGCTCTGGCTCTGGTGAATCCTCTCACCCTCCCTCGCTTCTGACTGTACCCAGTGCTTGTATAAATAAATAAATAAATCTTAAAAAAAAAAAAAAGCCACAAAGAAATACCCTAACAGATGAGCCATCACCTGAAGAGAGAGACCCCAAGGAGGAAAACCAAAGTATCTAAGTCAACAGCCAACATCAAGACATGAGTGTGGTGAGATATGTCATCTTGCACCTTCCAGTCCAGGCCAGATGTCTGGAACCAGTCCCCATAAGTGACAGCCAACATTGTGTGTAACAGAAGAACACCCAAGCAACCCAAAGAGTGGTGAAGAAAAATCACTTATTGTTTAAAGCCTTCTGAGTTTGACAGCATTTTGGTTATTATTATTATTTGCAGTAAAAGAACTGAAACAATCACTTAATATATCACAGAATGGTTATATACTTATTTATTCAACC